AAAAAAAAAAAAAAAAGTCCTTTAACCAAACGCTTCATTTTGCAACTGAGGTTCAAAAAACCAAAGACTCTATAAGTGTTGGAATCCCTTCACTTTTTCTCTCTTGATTTACAACCTCTACTAACATCACAAAGCTAAGAAAATAGATTCTCTCTACAAGAAAAGAACCCAAAAGGATTTTTTAATCATTTAAACATGATACACATCTATTTACATTTCTAAAAACTAAGCTTCAAGCTTGATTCTTCATTCATTAGGGATCTTTGATGTTACGCCCCACTTGCCATCCATGGATGTTCTATAAAAATTCCACATAATAAAAAAAATTTTCAATAATCAATTTAATGACATAACATAAAAATGTAATTTTTATATTTTCTTAACAAGAAAAATGCATTAATTATATTTTTTCATTAAACAACAATTATAACACTTGCATATTAAAGCCTAACTTTATGCACTCAACACAGAATTTTCTTTGCTGATGAAGACAAAAAGCATACAGATAATTAAAAATAACGAAAAAACTAAGATGCAATCTCAACTATTTTAGTCTAAATTACATAATTTTTATCATTAAATAAAAATAAAATTTTTATATTAAATTGTTTTAGTTGACAATTTCTATTTTGCCATGCAAAATAAAATACAGAAAAACAGTAACTCTGAAAACAGAGCACCGGGAATTTAAAAAGAACTCTGTACTTACTCAGGACTTGCTCTGCGGTGAATCTTCTAGAAACATCCTTACAAAGCATTCTTCTCAAGAGATCCTTAGCTGCCGGCGAAACAGACTGGAATACCCTGGTCGGAAACCTCAAATTCCCCCGCAGAACAGCCTCGAAGATCTCTCCCGCCGTCTCCCCATAAAACGGCGGAAACCCGGCCAATAATATGTACATGACCACCCCAGCGCTCCACATGTCCACTTTCTCATTGTACTCGGTTCCCGCCAGAACCTCCGGCGCCACGTAATACGGCGTCCCTACTACTCCTCTCATCGCAGCCCCTCCTTCCGAATTCAGCACGTCTGCGGAGCCGAAGTCAGTCAGCTTAACCGAATTCCTCGAATCGAATAGGATGTTATCGGGCTTGATATCGCGGTGAACTACCCCGAGCTTGTGAATGTGGCTGACGGCCTGCATCAGCTGCGCCATAATCACCTTGGCTTCCCCCTCCCCAATGGTCCCATCATCCACGATCTGCCTGTACAGATCCTGCGACGGCGGGCAGAGATCGAGCACCATGTGGAGGTGAGAATCATCCTCGTAGAGATGATAAAGCTGAATTATGTTTGGATGCGGCGCGACCAGACTGAGAATTTTGGGCTCATTTAACAGGCATTGAGAATCCAGAGAGTCCCCGGCAACGTGCCGCTTCTCAATCGATTTCACGGCGAAAGATTCACCAGAGACCGCCGAGAAGCACCTGAACACGACGCCGAATCTTCCCCGGCCTATCTCTTCGCATACCTGAAAATCTCTCCTAAGTGCTTCAGTCATATTTCTTTTTCTTTTCTTTTTTCTTTTTTTTAAGTTTTGGGATTTTCCGAAGAACTATAAATAAGCGAAAGATTAAGGGAATGTTTTGGGGAATATTCGTAATAGCCAATGATAGTAAGCCACGTAGGGAAATCCAACGGCTGAAGTTACTATACCGTTATGGGACGTTGGATTAGGAGGAACAGATGTGTTGTTTGTGGGGAATTACAGCAGTACCCCTCCTTGGGTGGGACCTAGCTGTCCTACACTCCTACGACAGTAGGGGAACGGAGAAAGGGACGGGTTACCGTACTTTTATGGCAGTTTCCATTTTCTAAAAGTAGGGATAATTTTTTTTATTAATTTTTATATAATTTTTACATTTTATTATTTAGTAGATATATTTAATATTATATATTTTAAATAAATAAAAAAATAATTATTTAAATAATAGGTAAAATTATAAAAAAAAATAATATAAAAAAATTATTTCTAAATATTTTTAAAAAACTTAGCAAAACAAAATACTAAGCCCTTAAACTCATCTCATATTAATGTGTAAGCCTTTAAACAAAAATAAAAAACATCTAAACCCTCAAATAATGGAGGGGTTTCAAGGTTTAGATGCATGATTTCTTGTTTAGAGACTTATAGGTTAATATGCGGTAAGTTAGAGGGCTTAACACTGGATTTTGAAATTTTGTCAGATATTTATTTTCTATTTTTGGCAAATATTTATTTTCTACCATTTTTGTTTCATGCTTGTTTCATGCTTTTGGAAGTGATTAACCCCCACACTGAAGGCTACGTGAATTTTAATTTTTTAAAATAATTAGTTATGATATTTTAAAATATTAATATATAAATTAATTTTAATTTATTAATTAATAAATATTAATTTTTTATTTACCAATTAACAAGTATAATTAATAATTATTTTAATTATCAATTTAAATAAAATCAATATTTAAAAAATTTTAAAATTTTATATCATTTGAATAATTTATTACATGTTCGTAACCATTACTATTAAAAGAAATACAATTCAAGTGGAAAGAATTCAATTTCTTTTAAATAAAATTTCGAGTTCGAGTTTTATAAATGAAAAAATATGTATTGGGAGAACTTTCCCTTAATGGGATCCAACATGACTTAATTCTGAATTAGTGGGATCAAATGTGATTATCAAATACTAAGAAGTTAATAAAAAAATAAAAGTATAATTTTATAAATTTTACGAAGTTAGTTGGTATAGGGAAAGCTATACATATAATTTTTGCTCCACAATATGATGGAATAACTAACGCTGTATGTTCTATATTGGCATATATAAGAGGAGTCATAATTTATGGACCCCGCTAAAATGAACTTGTCTTCTATATTTATCAATTTGATGAGGTGAGTTGTTACAAAGAGTTGTATTGTCACCGTTTGAGGAGTTTTCGAGGAGTTGGAGAGTTTAAAGCTATCCCTATTAGTTGAGAAGCTTATTTGTCACCAATAAAAGAGTATTTTTAAAGTATTGAAAAAAAAAATAAAATATTTTACTTTTAAAATATTAATTATTTTTTTTTCTTTTACTGCACTGCTTTATTGAGATATCATAGTTTTCAAATAATTTTCTTCACAATTTTTAAAAAATAAGACGAATAAACACTATCATCATTATTAATTTCTCTTTATATACTTTTTTGTTAAAGTTATTATATTTAAAAATTATTTGCATATCATTTTTTATATAATTAATTTTAAAATTTTATTTTTAATATTATGTATATCTATTTATTTAATATTAAATCTTATTATGCAAAGGGTGGAAAGACTTTAAAACACCTTTATTTTTTTTTTTTAGGAGGGAAGGGGGGGTGTGTAAAAAGAAAAGCTCAAACACCTTTAACTCGTAAGAAACATGAGAAAAAGAAAAGTATATGAATTATGGGGCAACGGGCGAAGACAAGATCAATTTAAGATACAAAAGCAATAAGGACGATCTTGTCTTCTTGTCTGGTTATTAATTTCCGGACAATTTAAGGTACAAAAGCAGTAAGGACGATAATATCAAAGTTGGGATTTACTCTTGCTGTGTCGTTGTGGTGTGGTGTGGTGTGTTGTGTTGTGTTGTGGTGTGGTGTGGTGTGGTGCTTAATTTCTAGGCTGGATATTCTACACATTTTGTGGAGAAAATGAGAAACATATCATGGGGTGGCCAAAATGCCACACTTCCTGGGCATTAGGGTTGATTGGGGCTATTGTTATAAAAAATTTTGTTAAATTTATCAATTTTAATTATAATTTTATTAATTTATAATTTTTTAAATAATTAGAATGATATTTAAAAATATTTATTTATAAATTAATTTTTAATTATTAAATAATAAATATTAATTTTTTATTAATTATTCAATA